TGTATGTATGTGAACCATCTAGCTCAAAAAAGAAAAGTTGTACGCAACTGAAATTGTGCAGTACATGTCTGAGAAGTTACAGCAATTTTTTCATCAAGATTGGCTAACCAGAAGTGACACTTTGTATCATCAATTTTACAATTCTCTCAAGATTTTGTAAAAATTCATTATATCAGTGTAAAATTAAACAGTTTTAAATATAATGTAGGTCTCATTCTTATTGATGTTCTCTAACAGTATTTAACTGCCTAATCTTCAAAATTTCTTCCTCTAAAATACCTTCAATTTTTTTTATTACAAATAATTAATCATTTCACATCGGAACCTGATATAAAAATGTTTAAATATGAAAGAATTTTATAATAATCTAAAGGAGAAGCAACCTAATATAATTTACTATTAATAGAGAATCGACGAAAGCCGAAGGTTAGAACAGGCTTCTATACAAAAGCATGTGAGGTTTTATAAATGCTGGCATTGATATTATTCAATATTTAATTGTATAGATTACAGCAATATAAAAATTAAAATTTGTATATATTTTCCAATGCTCAAACAAATAAAAATACCAACAATTAAATAAATATAAATTTTGTAGCCTTCATTATCAGTGGCACTCATGTCAGACTAAAAATATTTTGTGGCACTTTTTTTTTTTTTGTACTTTGTGGCATAAAATCCTTAAATGTGATGATTAGAGGGAAACAATTAGTATAATACATTAGATATCCAATGTTTCATTAAACACACCTTCAAATTAGGTAATACTCACATCTATTCAAGGCAGAAGCTCCCTGGGACATCCTCTCTCTTGTATTTCTAAACAACTAGTAACCAACCAAAATAAAATCCTTTGTTCCTTGAGCTGATATATTTTTCTTTGTTCCCTGAAGGGCCACCATTTTGTTTGTTTTCAACTAGTGATACCATTTCAAATTCAAAATCTCTTGGTATTATCTGAATTAGGTTGACTTGCTTCTTAATTAGGTTAGCTTGCTTAAAAGTTAACCAAACTATTTTTACATTAATTGTAATGCAAGAAAGGTGTTTCTTTGATTATTTTAAGAGCTTCACAAAACTTTTTTGTTTTCCTTTTATGAACAAAGAGTTCAGCAGCATTAACTCTTTCTCTTTCAGTGATAGGCTTTTGATATTAACAGAGAGCGCCTCACGTTTGTAGATCAAATTAATGAACATCAAATTAGAATAAGTAAGAATTTTGAGATACACAACTATAAACTAGACTGTTGTTTGCTGTCAACCATTACAAACTGAGTTATTTGTAAAACAACACATCTCTTGGAGATTATTAACAGACTGAAGTTTGTATGTCTTATTGGTAAGTACCCGTCCGTTGGATATGTGGTCTTTTAGGAGGAATGGACCAAGTCTTGTCCTAACTAACAAATAAATCTGGATGGCAAACTCATTTTTGGGAAAAAATATAGATGAAGTCTTCACATGTTTAATAATACTTCAATTGATCCTATTATCATCCTGAAATATGGATTCGAGCAGTACCCAATTCCATTCAATTATTTGAATAATTTTCAAAACTACTTAACTATAAAGAACACATTTTTCTGTATATTTCAGTCATATTTATCAATGAAAAAAACTTATTAAGTGAATCAAAACAATACAAACCCCATTATAACATAATATAAGTTCTGAAACCACCTAAATCAGTTTTTAAAACTTTACAGGAGGTACAAAAACTGCTAAACTTAGCAACAACCTTCTTCATATAATTTGTACCAAATTCAAACTTTAAAGGTCTCGGAAACATAATTTTGACAAAATTATTTAGGTAAATAAAACAAGTTACAAAATGACTGATAGCTTAATTGACAAACCAAGCTTAAAATTAGTTTAGTATAATTAAAAAGTTAACAGAACTGAAGAAGGCTGGTAAGCTGGCTAACTATGCCAACATGATATATTTTAAGTGCTCATTCATACCTGTCGTAGAAACTAAAGTCAGGCCATATATAACATTATTAAGGGTTGTTTCACGTTTGGAACTGAAACATTCACACTCACTGATGCAATGAAAAACTTGGTTAATCAAGGGATGTAGTAGCTTTGGAGAACACCTTTCATAACATGTATAAAATAAAATGTACAAAAGAGGACACATGAAAATTGATATAAATGAATTGCAAGAATTGTTCTAATGATGGGGAAAAGATTCCGAAATATCAATTATAATTAAGATGTAAGAAATACATTTGTTTGCATTTATGGAAGTTTTTATTGCCAACATCAGTTTGTTCAACAAAAGAAGAAAAGAAGTTAAAAAAAAAACTGTTTTAGCAGTGATCATCAAGATCTCAAAAGGTATGCAACCAGAAAAAAATTTAATAAATGCAGATATATATGTAGAATTGTCAAAATTAAATACATGAATACTACAAATACTTATCAGCAATCTAGTGTGCACAACTAATGAAGGAGTAAAAACTTAAGTATCACTTATAGTCCTTGGTTCAGGCCCCTTTTCATGAAATTATTAACATCCGTCTAAAACTTTGTGTGTGGCTTCATTTTGTCCTAACCTACAACACCAACCGTGTAGTCATAATGATGTGAAAATTTATGAATATCTAACTGATTTTCACATTAATGGTTAATAAAGATGAGTACAATCAAATGGTCATAGTGGCCTACAAAAATATTGGAGTGTTTTGCGTAACCTCCATCTCAAACATCTCGTAAGAATCATGTCATGAAAATCCAGCTGATTTGTACAATAATGGTTAATAAAGACGAGTACAATGAAATGGTCATAGTTGCCTACAAAAATTTTGGGATGTTTCCAAAAAAAAAAAAAAGTGTTTATATACCTATATATTACAATAACTAGAAAGTATAACGAAGATTAAAAAAAGAAAAAAGGATTAGAAACCAGAATATCACAACATACATCAAACTGCAAAAATAGTAAAAACAGTGTTACAAAATAGTAACAGCCCTAGCAAACCATAGTATTAAATCACTACACACATTTGACTTCAAAAACCCACAAACATTAGCAATAGAACCAAAAACAAACAATAAGAAACTGCTGGAAGCAATACATATAACAAAACAATAAACTATAAAACAGATACAAAACACTTAGGTACACACTATTCGGACATAATATCCTATATTAAAATTAAAAAAAAAAAACAGAACAACAGACATAATAAGAAATAAGAGGACAGGCACAAAGTACAGTGATGAAACTGAAGATAGCCAGATGTTAGGTTGGTTTAACAATGAATAAGAAAGGATGTGTAATAACAAAAAAATATATAAAATGAACGTGACAAATATTTGAATTTCTGACAAATGGTGCCACATCAAAAAAGCAAGGTAAATAATTGTACAATAGATGAAGTAGATTGGTACTGTAAAAAGTGTATTTAAAATGTGCATAGTTTCAGTGAATATAAGGAGTGCTCTGATGATGGGAAAATTGTCCAGAAACTTTGTAATTAAAGGGATTTAAAGGATATTGGAAGTATTTTAGTCTTACTATGAAAAAAATGTATAAATGTAGGCTTCCTAAAAAAAGAAATATAAGAAGATAAAGAAAGTTAAATTTTGTCAAAACTTGTTCAGGACTCTTCCCGTAATAGCTGGTAAAAATTTCTGAAGATTCCCGGGGCGAGTTTTTACGTGGAGAAGGGATTTGTTTTTCATTTTTTTTATCAATATCTCAACAACTATGAGGTTTGACACAAACATCATTCTATATAAAATTAAACTTCTTCAAAATCTTGATAAAACTTGTTCAATACATTTCCTTGATGAAATCCTTGGTTATAGAAATATTAAAGAAACAAAATTAACGGTATTACCTTTTCAGTAAAAATTGCTCCAAAACATAAAATTGCTATGTCCAATAGACATAATACCGATTCAAGGTTAAATTTGTTTTATTAACATTTCCAAGCATTCAAAAACATATTATAATCAAATTATCTTTTTTTTAATGATTTTAATAAACAATAATAAATTATTGAGACTCAAGAATATTAATTGTCAATTAGTGTTATATAATCTTCAAACACACATTATTTGATAATTAGTACCTTTCTGCGTTTCATTCAGTAAACAAATTTTCTATTCCTGTAAGACTTACCCCATTACTCAGCCCACCATCGAAAACTGACAATGATTTATATAATGCTTATACTAATTTCATAAAGAACAAATTAATTGAAAACCAATAGCAATGTTGATATTACTACTATACAATATTATTTCATTTTTAGTTTCTCCAATTTATTATTGAATTTTAGAATTATTAAAACAAAGTGAACTTAATAAGATAGCTTAAACGTCCATATTTTTTTTTGTCTTCCATACATTTAATAATGAATTATAAGAACACCTTTTATATTATTGGTTATATTAGTAACTGTGGATTACTCACACTAAGTTTAAGACGGATATTAATAATTTCATGAAAAGGGATCCGCACCACTAACTATTAACTCATTTCAGTTTTACATATATATTCTCGGAGTAAAGGTTTAAAAGAAATTTAACCTTTCTCTTTCTGTTGGCATTACAGACCACATAGATCTTTTGCTGCCTTAAACAAACCTGCTCCATCTCTGTATGTCTTGGGCTATTTATTTTCATTTATCTACACGCAACTCTATTGCATTTTTGTTGATTATATATAACCATCTGCTTTTTGGCCTTCCACGTGGTCTAATGCCTCCTGTTAAGGCATTCATTGTTACGTAGAGGCCTCCAGATGGATTTCTACAAACTACATGTGCCGCTCATCTTAATCCATATATTAGAACTGGCTTTATTATAGTATTGTACATCCTTAATTTGAGATTTCAATACTGTTAAAAGGGAAAAGAAAGCTCTGTTTGCACTAGTTTTATACGCTGGTCTATTTCTGACCATTTTAAAGAAATTTAAATATAAACTTTGTTTATAGAAATTTAACTATGATTGTAAAATAACATGGAAATGAGTAAAAGAAACATTTGTCAATAAGTAAAATTTTATTTAACAAAAGCTAATTTTATTTTTTTACAAAAAAACAAAACATATAATAAAGAAATTTCTTCTGGGGGCAATAATAATGCTTTGGTTTTCAGCACATTTCTTTTAACTATCAAATTAAAACATTAATTTAAAAGGAGTACAAAAAAACCAAAAGCAAATATAATTTTGTCGATTTAATAAAAAGAATTGTTATATAGAACAATAGACAAATGTATAAATGCAAATCACAATTATATTCATGTTTATTAAACATATAGATAGTTAAATATATAATAAATAAAAGTAAGACTGCATTTATATAATTTCATCAGGCTCACATGGTGCATCCAAATCCCTATAAGTAATAATAGGCCTGTAGTCCATACCCCTGCAACAAAACAAAGATAAATGAAAATGATTTACAAATTGTGAGTTAAAACATGCCCTACTACATTAGTTTATTTAATGTGTTTAGATTTAGTCAAAACCAATTTTTTTTTTTTTTTCATTGATCAACAGTACATATTAATAGGAACAAACTTCAATGTGGAGTAACACTTATATAATACATGAGACTTTATGATGATACTATCAATAAAAATAATATATATTATTTTTATTGATAGTATCTTAGAAGATTTTATATATATCATAGAAGATTTATAATAAAAAAATCTGGTGCACACAAAACACAAATTCCACTTACTGCCCTACTTTGAATAGAAATTATTCTGACAATGTGGGGCTATTATAAAATCATTGAAGTGCATTTTAAATGGAGCTTAAAGCTTACAGATAACAAATCATTAAGACCATTAAAATTACAAAAAGTCTATTCATTATATCGATAGAAGCAACAAAAATCTAGTTACTCCTCTTGCTTTTATAAACCATATCCACATAACTTCAGTCCCTGAGTCTTTCAGTTGACAGAATGATAAGCTCCAATTTCAACATTTTTGAGTAATGTCATTTTAGTGATATTTCTAGTTGCAATAGTTATATAGTGGATCAAAAAGGTGTTGGCACACCAAACTTTTTTCATGTCTCATTGTGAAAAAATCCTAAATTGATTAGTTAAACATTTTTAATAAAAAATTTTAAAAAATCCGATGCTTGCAACATATAACTTTTACTTACCGTTCTACTTTGAATAGAAATTACTTTCTGGCAGTATTGGGCTATTATAAAATTTATGAAATGTATTTTAAAGGGAGCTAAAGCTTTAAGATAACAAATTATTAAGACCATTAAAATTACAATAAGTCAATTTATTATATCGACCGTAGGCAATAAAAATCTAGTTACTCCATCTACTTTTATAAACCACACAACTTCAGTCTCTGAGGCTTTCAATTCACAGAATGAATGACTATCTCCAAATTCACCATTTTTGAGTAATGTCATTTTAGTGATATTTTTAGTTGAAAAAGTTATATCTATACAGACAGTGAGTAAGTAGATTCCAGAGTAGGTGATAGCAGTATTGAAACAAACACTGAGAATAAAGGTATAAATTTTGCCACTAAAATTAATAATAAAGAATGTTGAAATTGGAGTTAGTCAATCTGTCAATCGAAAGGCTCATATATGCCACGAGACATTTGAAAGTACATCTGAATATTTAACCTATAAATGATTTATGGATAGTACGACTATTAGTTATTTTTCAGTGTAAAGTTTACTAAAATGAAATTATGAGACTTCTATTGTCTACCATGGATAGGTCAAAAGTTGTAAGTGGATAATGTTGGGATTCCACAAAGAGAAAATTCATCAAATTATTTACCAATCTAATTTTCTAAAAGTTTACTTGGTGATTTTTTTGGAATAATCACCCTGCAGATACCGAATTATTTAAATTTAATATCATCTCTAGAGTTTTTAAACTACAATAAATATATTTAAGGTTATAAACATACCTATGAAATATTTTTATATTTCACTTCTTTCACACAAGTACAATGAAACAGTATTTTAAACAATGGCATTGGCTTGATTCGGTAGATTTTAAATACTTTTTTAAACTTTCATTTACCTATATATGAAATATATAGTTAAGGTAAATATTGAGATCATGAAAATTTTCAAATCTGAGTTTTCAACGGAAATACATGTTTTGAAGTGTCCTGAGTCCAAAAAACCAAGTCCCACAAAATGGTCTGTGTGTGAGTGTCTATGTTTGAGTGTGTTAGCAATCTAGCTCAAAAATGAAAAGTCAAGAAACTGATATTACGTATTTAAGATAGGTATATACCTTAGATGTGACAGCAAGTTTTTCCATAAAATCGGCTAATCAAAAGTGCAACTTTATATCAACGGTGAAACATATTTTCACAATTTTCTCAAAAACGGCTCAAACGATTTTTATTAAACTCGGTGTATCATAGTGTAATTAAGTGGTCTTTAATATCAATTAGGTCTTATCCACATTGATGTTACTTTTCAGGAGTTAAATGGCCAATATTCATATATGGCTTCCTCTAAAGTACCTTTAATATGGTTTGTTTTAAATAATTAACTCTCTCACATTATTAAGAGTTACAAAAAAATGCTAAATATAATTTTGAAAAAATTTGATAATTGAATAAAGGAGAAAATAAAAATAAAAATGCTTACCCAGGTCGAAAATGAATCTCCGGAAATATTAGTCAGAAAGTATACGTATAATATATTGTTGGAAAACGGAGAATTAAAACAAAAAATCAATACCTAGTATAGAAAGTTGTAGAAGGTAACAAAGATGCCCTGTAAAGTGACATCAATGGGGATAAGACCTAAATGATACCAAAGACTACTTAATTATACAATGATACACCGAGTTTAATCAAAATCTAAGGATTCAAGGCAATGCCATTGTTACAGATACTAACTCTTATATTAAAACTAGGCTATTAAGCCGTTTTCGAGAAAAATGTAAAAATATGTTTCACCATCGATATAAAGTGGCACTTCCGGTTAGGCGTTTTTTGACAAAAAAGTTGCTATAACATCTGAGGCATATAAAAACTTTAAAATAAGCAATTCCAGTTTCATACGGCATTTTGAGCTTGGCTGTTCACATACGGACACACAGACCATTTTGTGGGACTTTATTTTGACTCAGAGGATCTCAAAATGTGTATTCCCATTGAAAACTCAGAAAATGTTTAAGATCGCAATACTTTCTCTTACTATTTATTATATATGTAGGTCAGTGAAAGTACTATTATTGGAATAAGTCGTTGGTAGAAGTGAAGGGTGTTAAATGTTTAATTAAAATATATATTAGTAAGAATATTTTAAATACATTGATGGCTCAGTTCAAAACTGAAACAACTAAAAAAAATATTTAAGTTTTTCTCTGATACTTGAAACTATTGTGGCTTGTGGCAATCTTCTTCATAGTACAAAACAGCACCAGTGCAAAATGCCATCATATATCGGGATAATTAGACATAACAAATATAAAACTAAAAACATAAATGAAATACCTTCCCCTTCCAAAACCTCCTCGTCCACGGTTGAAACCACCATGTCCACCAAAATGACCAAATCCACGTTTGAAACCACCCCCATACTGGTAACTGAAAAACAAAATACAAAAATTTATACATATACAAATACAACAATAACTTTCATTTAATTTTTTAACTTAATAAATATCACATCTGAGAATCACTTAGCTTTTTTATTTAATAACATTTTTAGTTTCCTCAAGATCTAATTACTGAGTAGGGATGTATGTATTGTCTTATATTCTAATGAAATAAATAGAACTTTTGAAGTTTCTCACGACAAGATCCATAATGAAACCAGCTTACTACTGGATAATTAGATGGGTTGAGCTCTGCAATCATATCACGTATTACTAGTTAAAAATATACTGACAGTAAGAGATCTCTCTTTGGATGGAGCTCTGAAGGTAAAGTAGCTCAGCACTTGTGCTTCTGGCCAGAATCATGGTAGTGGCACAAATGAAAAATAGAAATTTAAATACGAAACATAGAAATATATTGGGCTGGCAAATAAGTCCTTTTAGTTTTTCTGTTTATTTTTATTTCACTATAATACATTTCTTATCTGATGAATTAATCCCTAAGGTGGATTGTTTATCCTGTTTGTAATATGTCAACAACTATATCTGTTAACTCTTGTTGAAACTAGCTTAGTATAGTATTTGCTATTGCAATGTGAATATGGAAGAAAATATCATTCAATATCGTCATATTACTTTTAAAAAGGTAAGCGTGCTGCAGAAGCTCATAGGAAAATTTGTACTGTTCATGGGGATGATGCCTTAATCGAACGCAACTGTCAAAATTAGTTTGCCAAATTTCATTCAGGAAATTTTGACATCAATGATGCTCAACAGTCTGGTCGCCCACATGAAATTGAAAAACGCTAGGACCCACACCTCATTAGTCACCCGCAATAAATTATTGAGCCTCGGATGGGCCCTTTTGCTCCACCCTCCCCATTCATCAGACCTAGCTCCAAGTGACTACCACTTATTCCGACCTCTGCAGAACTCCATGAATGGAAAGAATTTGAAAATAAAGAGGGCATCAAAAACCAATTGGATCAGTTTTTTAACAATAAGCTCCAGACATTCTATGAATATGTCATTATATAGTTAATGGAAAATGGTAAAAAGTCATATTAAATTATGGTCAATATATTGTACATTAAAATAAATTTTATGTCTATAATACATTGAGTTTTATTTCACCCGGAAAAACTGAAAGGACTTATTTGCCAACCCAATAAATACAACAGATTGACTGAAGTTTAGGTAGTTTGAGGCCTTGAACATCTAAAGTGGATAATTCTAGTTAATTATTCAGTCGTGGTGTTACTGTTAAATAATCTAAAGTATGAATTTACGAAACTGATTTGTCTCAGATAGTTCTATAGGAATGGGAAACATGAGATCTTACATTTGAGGGAGATCTGAGAAGTGAAAATTAACTTTATTAATAATTAGAAAACATGACATCTTTGGTAAAGTTATCTAATTATAAATATTCCCTCCAAACTCTGCATTTGACAAATTCTAACCTAAGCTGCCTCTTTCAAGGAACTCCATCCCGTTATGATAGTTTCCTCGATCAAGTCTATCCTCTTCAACCACATCCTCCTCGATCAGTCTAATTAATTTTATTTTATACTAAATCACCTTTTTAGATACTTTAAAGTTTTCCAGAGTTCATTAATTTTACAGCTATTTTTCACATACTTATTACTATTATAGTCTTTTTCATTTGTTTATTAATTTTTTTTAAACATAGTTTTGTTATTATTTTCCTATACGCTGTATTTTTATTAATATCTATGAGTTCAGCCACACTGATTTGGCAACTATGTAATATTATTTTCATTTTATTTCTAAGGAACTTTGTCCCAGGATAATATATATATATATATATATATATTTTTTTTTTTTTTCATATTTGAATATATATGAATTATAGCATAGAATAGAAGTCTGTAGTATTCAACTTTTGAAGTAAAGTAAATATATAATATTTATACTGCACACACATAAAAAGAAAAAAACGGAAGCTAGGCCATGGCAGGATCTGATAAAGCTGTCTGCACTCTCATGACGAAGCTCCATCCCCATCAATTTTCTTGGAGTAAAAAACATTCAACACTAATTACCATTGCAAATATGCATCAGAAAAAATTGGGACTTTTTGTGTTTTTATAGTTATATCCTAATCTTCACCGACAAAAAAAAAATCATGCAAATACCCAATTGTACTAATTGTAACCAAGAATTTACATAAAAAGTAAATTATTGGGGCTCTCAAAACTTGAGTTAGTTTTGATGTATATCTTCTATCACTGGCTACAATGTGGTTGAATGATCCCTACCTATATAGCTCATAACACAGTAACCAGAAATGTCTGTTACACTATGTATCACTAATATTAGTGATGATTATATTGACAAAAATAAAATGCATAAAATATTTACAATTTTTTTTTTGGATATAATCTATGAAGAAGAGTTATAATGATTCTTAGGATGGAGGCCTGATGCACTCCTGTGTCAGGAGCTTATGTGAAATTTGCAAACATGTGAAGAGCACTATAAAACTGTTATAAGTAAAGCTGAATTAAAGCTATAGGTTCTTCGGTTATTATAATTGAAGGCAACTCTTCCATTAGATAATATTTATTTATAATCCCCCAGTTTGACATTTTTTGATTTTTGACCCATCTTCGTGAACAATACATTCTGATAGTTACTATCTATTATATATAATTAAAAATCTTTTTCAACAACCATTTCATTGTGATAAGAATGCATGATAAACATTTTGCTTTGAAAATTTAAAATGTTAAAACCTTTTTCCAAGGCCTACCAAGGCACAGGAATGCTAACTCGTCATTTTATTGTCTCCAACTTTGGCTATCAGTTTGCCAGGCAATGCGCGGTGCTGTGCACACACATTAGCCCATTCGGCCACCCCGCTCTTCCCCCTCTATCATTTTCAACTATTAACAATGAATAACATGTTAATAAGATGGTTTAGTAATCAGTAAAACTTACTGGTAAGGAGATTCAGGCTCCTTCTTGCCACCCCTATTTCCAGGATGTTCAGCTAACTGTGGGCGTTTTGGATCTCGAAGGTAATTATTAAAATAATCAACCTAAAACAAAATAGATTCTTTAATACTTATCAACTTTATTTTAGTAGTGAAAAATATCAACTAAAACTGAAGAGTAAACATACAAATTTAAAATTTACAGATAATTTATTTAATCATTAAATTGAAATGATTGTTATTTATATGGTTTAACCCAAATAAACCAGTAAAACTGTGGTGTGTGGAGGGGTATACTTCATTACCTTGCATCAAATGAAGTAGTTCATATATTGTAAGCAGAGATGGGTAAAATCGTAATCAATGATTACATGATTACAACTGAAAATAAAACTTTATGACCACGCCAATTTTATACTTGATACAGTAGCACTATAATTATAGGAAAAGTATGAAACGATTACCTGATTACAATCATAATCATAAACCTGATTACGATCACAATCATGTAATCACGTAATCAAAATCAATGTAATCGTAACCATGTATTCGAATTCACTGTATTCATAATAAAGTAATCAAAATCACTGTAATCGTAATCTCGTAATCATAATGAAAATTTTTTGAATTTTCATTAGCTTTTCCTCTTTTATCTCGTGAATGGAGTATCGGTTTTTCACCGTTCCAACAGTTTTCCGGCTATGTAGAGGTAAAGGAAAATGGGGAAATTTTGAAGAAAATTTTCCATTTAGATAAAAGAGGAAAAGCGAATGGAAATCTGGAAAATTTTCTACACCATTTCTCCGTTTTTTTCTACATCTATATAGTCGGAAATGTGTTGGTGACAAACCTGATCCTTCATTTTCGAGATAAAAGAGGAAAAGTAAATGAAAATTCAGCAAATTTGTACTACTCCCGTTTCCATTGGCTTTCCTCTAAACAGTTATAAAATGGTTGGAACGGTGAAAAACCGAGACTTCATTCACACGATAAAAGACGAAAAGCAAATAACAATCCGGAAAATTTTCTACATTAATTCTCCATTTTCGCCTATATCAATATAGCCAGAAAAGTGAATGGAAATCCGGAAAATGTTAAATGTTAACTGACGTTATTAACAAAGAAGGTACTCCCGGCAGCTAAAGAAAATAGAAAATCTTTTATTCTTGTTTTCCTTTAAGCCTATCTCTAAACACAGGAAAATCGTGTGTATTTGATTTTTTGATTACGATTACGCGATTATGATTACACGATTATGATTATAGTGATTTTGATTACAATGATTATAATTACGATTACATGATTATAATCCTAATCGTTGATTATGATTATGCCCATCTATGATTGTAAGTGTGTGGTGCCTATAAATTTTGGTAATTGAAATTCCTGATCAGTGAAATTTTTATGAACATATAATTAATAGATTATTATTTTAAAGTAGATATATTTTTGTTAGAAAGTATATTATTCAAAACAGAAAAAAAGAGAATAATTTAGAGAGATATTTTTATTACCTCTTTTAAAAAAAAAATATCAGGATAAATAGTCAAGATTTGTTTTATTCAGCTTGTCTCACAAGCCAGGTAAGCCCAATTAAAAATATGAAAATCTTGAGTATTTATCATTTTGATAAATGAAGGAATATTTTCCCTTATATTTTCAAAAATAGCAGAAATATGGGCCATGAAACTGCTAATCTCCTGTTTAAAAAAATCAGATTGAGGAAAGACTAGAGGTGATGATAGCAGTAACTGATACCACCATATGAGAAGATACATATTTGTTCACAATTATATGCCACCAAAGAATACAAACTCTCAAATGATTTTTTACAGGTGAGTGTTTATGAAGATGGAGATTGTAAAAAAATAAATTAAGCTGTTGTCAAAGTTCCAACCCAAGCTAGTGAGCCATTCATTATCAGGGTATGTTTTCAGCACTGAAAGTGTTCAAGTACTGTTGAATGGAACATCTTATTTATTTTGGGTTTTCAGAATGTCATCACCAGTTTTTAAACACCTCCAGTACTGGAAACTACCAATTACAGGACATAATTTATATTCTCTCTAGCAGGTGGACCAAACATATCATACAATTGGTTGTCGTATGCTTTCCTAGATAATACCACATATGAATCTTTATGAGACAGAAATTATACTTTTTTTTTATCATTAAAAAAACCTTATATACTAATAATATATACCTCCTTCTTCACTTCTTCAAGTTCTTGAGCAAATTTATTATAAATATGTTTCCTGACAAATTCTGGTCCTTTAAATTTTTTTCCTGATAAAGGACATAGCCACTTGTCTTTTGCTAATTCCTAAAATCAAAAGAAAGAAAAAACTTAAAAGATGTATTTTAAATCTTAATAATAAACAATGCAAGAATGTAAAAGGATTGCAGATGAAGGTAGTTATGTCGATTAATTTATCAGGTATTACAATTCAAGTGAAAACAGTAACAATAAACGTCTTTCTAACAAAACAGATTATTACTGGAAGGCAATTTTTTTATTGTTATTCAATATTTAAGGTATGTTCTATTCCAAGAATAATTTCCACTGGTATCAACTTATTTGATTTTGTAATATTAAATTTGAAAAGTTTTAAATCACAGAATTATTTATCTTCCTCATATATTTAAACAATCTATAAACCATCTAATCTTGCATAAAAAGTTCAATTTCATACAACAGAAATGAAAATAGTGCAATGTATGACAAAAACAGCAAACTGTGTGATTGTGTGCAATACCGAATATCAATATGTTATTCTACAGATCCTAAAACGCTTAGATAATGATATTTAAAGTTTTTACATGCAAGCAAAAGAAATGTACAATACACAATAACATTGAAGTCTGTTTTTTTTATAACCACAGGTGCTGGGCAAGGCACTTTCTGTTCCATCCTCCAATATTTATCATTAATGATGGTGAATGATTCTTATGAAATAACCACGGGAAGAATTAGCTAAGAAAATTCTCAGTGATTTGACTTAGGCAGAAGGATGACTTTCATAATTATTTGATAAAATTTATTTCTGACTCTCAGTTTATCAATTTTTTTTACTATCCTGAACAAACTTTCAAACCTTTTGTTTCTTCAATTCTTCTTTTTGGCCAGTTTGGATTATAGATATGTTTGAACTGCTGAAGCTTGGATTACTGAGATTGCTTTATGACAGAGGTATTAGATTTAGTTAATCTTGGCTCATAACAAACCCTCTTTAAACAGGTATATAGCTTGTTCTCATGTCTACATATTGTACATAGAGTGATGCAAAACAGTTGGATTCAATCAAATTTAGTGAATTAGATTAAATAGTTGGAAATATAGGTACTTGAATTTGAAATAAAATGTTTTGCATTATATTTTGATTAAATTAAAGATTATTGAACCTATTAAAGAGAAGATATTTTGGATTAAAATAAATATACTTTTTTTTTAAGTGATTCAGATTAAATTCTGGTTTTATTACCTGGGTATTAGCTTGTATGAATTTCTCCACTTCAGTATCTCTATCCTTAGCACCTAATGATGCTAATTCTTGTTCAGAAACAGTAGGTACGGGAGTATATAAGGGTTCAAGTTTCGTTTTATAACCGTCTATATATTCTTGTATTTCTTGAGGTGAAACCTTAAAACAGATATTACACAATTAAAAGATGACATAATAACTAGAATAATTAATCTTTTTTACTTAACTAAAATAAAATAAATCAACTATTTTAGTTCTTGGAATAAACAGGTGGTTATTCAAATATTGTTTCATATAGTAGAGTAAAATAAAAAGCCTAAAGTGATTGTTGGTCAAAACAGATAGCACAACAAGAAAATAACTAATATTATTTGCATTTTCTGTTGTTGTGGGAGTATATAAGATGATTTGAGTCTACTAAAAAAACCTTAACATAAGACATATCCAAATACTAAAAAAATCATATAATAGATTCAACACTAACTGTGTGCCCCAAGGTTCTAGTTCTTTTACAAGTTACTAAGCTATTCAAGGAAAAGATTAATGATTTTTATGACAGAATTATTCAGTGAATTTGTATTGGAAATAAAAGTAAACACAAGGTTAAAAAAAAAAAAAAAAAAAAGCACCTGTTTCTGGTTCGAGCATGATGCTAAGTTGCTTTAATATGTAAGACTTTTTAAATTCAAAATCACAAAAGCTTTAAAAAGATAATAAGTGACCATAATTCCTTAAATTTGACGAGATTTTTTATCTTTCCATTTCTTTAGAATATCAAAGAAAAGATTAAATTAAAAAAAAATTATCTATTTTAAATATTAATAATTTTTAAACTTTCAATAAAATATATAATAGGAACAAGTACGTAAACTTAGGAACTTTCCATAATTCTTAAACAAACTAACCTCAGTACTAGAAGGCAGTCCTCTTAAATGCATTATACCACATCTATTAGGCATTTCGTCTTCTGATGTATATTGTGAAGTGTTGTAGTAATCAACAGAATGAACAATCCTCAAATAGAGAAGCAATTTATCTAAAATCTAAGGAAATAGAGAATAAGATAAATATATAGCTGAATTTGATTAAATTAAATGCAATTTATTCTGACAACACAAATATTACTGACAGTAAGAAGAAAAAAATCTATTCTATCTAATTGTGCTTCTTAACCTTCCAGGCAGGCATAAAATATGCCCTCTTCCTCACAATACAATCACTTAACATGTTTAACATCTTCTACCTGTTATATGAGAACAATTTGCTTATCTCTTAAATAATTAGGTTATACAATAAAATCAAAGAAAAATATACTAGGACACTTTGTGAGCCACACATCTGTTTATGAAATTGTTTTAAATTCTTCAATGGTTTGTAAGGTTTAATCCTTTGACTGCGGATGGGATACATGCTTTCCCATTTGGTTATATGCCTTCCCCCCAGAGGGGGGGGGGGGAGGTCACCTCTTAAACAGGTAGGGGCAAGTCCCGCCTTCAACATTTGACTTGTGGCTTGGTTGGTGCATTCATTAGTTCCCTGTCACTGACTCAGTGAAGTCGTTCTGGATTCTGACCATTTGGAAGCTATCAGTAGCAAATTTATTCTCCACCTAAGTTATGTCCTTTCTCAGTTATTAGTGTCATATCCATGATCTTATATATACTCTATTCAAATGGTTTATACATGAAATAAATGGTAATAAGATACTTTTATAATTTCTTTTTTTTTAAATTTTGGTTTTGACTGAATGATGATATATAATGTAATAAATAAATGTAAAAATATACAGAAGTAAAATGATACTTTAGTTGTTTTATCATTTTTCCATCCAACTAAAAACAATGTATATATATATATATATATATATTTCATAAAATATAAAAGCGTTTGAAACTCAAAATAAATGTAAGTGCAATAATAAAATTTTATTAATTTTAAGAACTGCTATATGTTTCAATATGGAACTTTTTAGGTGAGAAAATATTTTGTAAATACAAAGAAATATATAATTCTTTTTTTATATAATATATAATTTTTTTTTTTTTTTTTTTTTAGAAATAATGTAATGTAATTTATAAGATCATCTACAGTTACTTTTATGATAATTTTTAGTTATTTTGCTTTTCAGATATGAGAAAATACGCAAGAAAGAGACGTGCTGCAGGATTGCTGCTCTAATTTTGCATTGTTATATGTGACTAGGACGGCATATATACCATTTTTTAAAAGTTGAATAAAATTGTTAAAATGCATTATTGAAAGCTAAGATTTTGTAGGGTGGCTCAAAATAGCATTTTAAACAAATCTATGAAAAAAGAAAATCTGTTGTTTTTTTTAAGTCTTTGAGGATTTCAGAATGTAACGTATAGTTGAAACTCACGAATGAGCTCCCGCATTCAAAGGGTTAAGCATGTTATTTGCAACTTTACATTCAAGAGGGTATTATTAACATTATTTGAAGAAACCAAATCAATGTAAGTACATAACATTTTCATGATTTACTGTCACCGTATTTTATTAAAAAGAAATGAGGAATTCTTAGAAAATAAGTGAATGAAGAGTGTGTGTATAAGCCAATAAAAATGTATTCATTGTTTAAAATTTTATGTTTATTTGAAATAGATTATAACATAATCATTAAAATAATGGTAAACTGCTAATAATACATTTACACACTTTTTATTGTAGTGTTAAATTGGATACTTAAATTCTGTTAATCATGTTTTCCTACCTTACACAACTTATTAATAATCCATGAATAATATGATTTTATTATATACAAACCCTCCCCACAAGAATCCTTACTGAAATTCCCTTTGATCTCTCACGATGAGCACAAAACCCCTAGCTATTCTTTTATGGAATGCTAATGGACTACACAACCACAGAGACAAACTTGACATTTTTCTTCATGACTACCACATTGATATTGCTCTACTGACAGAAACTCACTTCACTCAACATTCATATTTCTACATACATGACTACATCACTTATAGATCAGACCACCCCGACAACACCTCCCATGCCGGTTCTTGCGTTCTTATCCATAAATCCTTATCCCATTCTCTCATTCCTTCTATTCCAACTGAGACTATTCAAGCAACATCAGTAATAATTTCAACTCGTCTTTTCCATTTAACACTCTCAGCCTTATTTCAATCCTTCGGATCTCGCTTTATTGCTGGAGAAGACTACAATGCTAAACACCAACGATGGGGTTGTCAAGCATCCAACTTCCGTGGAACATACTATCTTCTGTCTCAACTTCCATAGTTACTCTGTCCTCTCTCCTATAAATCCTACTTATTGACCAACATCCCTCAAAAAAAGCCCTGATATTCTGGAAATATTTGTCAACTCCCAGATTTCCTTTTCCCATGTCATAATCAAATCCCTGGATGACCCCTCCTCATATCACTCTCCAGTTCTGCTTTCATTAAACACAATCTTCGCTCCTAAGCCCTCGTCCTCTCCTACACTGATTACAGGACGAGTAAGCTGGGACAAATTTCGTTAAGACCTGGAAATTGGACCTAAATATTCCATTTACCAGGACTAGATACCCATCAGATAAGGCATATTACAACAAATTAACTAACCAACTAAAAGCTGAAATTAGAAAATACAAAATTTACTTAACATGACAGAAAAACTTACTACTACTGACAAATCACAATGGTTTATCACTAAAAAGCTCCTTAAATTTAAAGGTTTTAACCACCCACTTATTACTGAAACCCAAACCTGGTCCAGACCTGAGAAAGAAATATCTCAAATATTTGCTCAGCACCTCTTCAAAACATTTAATCCACACCCAGATATCCTTAATACAACCCTTGGGTTATTAATACAACCATTGAGTTTATTGAAGCAGAATTGGATATCCCACTCCCATTGACTCCTCCGCATTTCATCCTTCAGAAACATCCAATATCATTCATAGATTACCTTCCAGCAATGCTCCTAGCCATGACCTAATCACATCCCAGATCCTAAAACTGCTTCCTAAAAAAGCTATACTATTCCTCACCTATATATATATATAATGCTGTACTCCGAATCACATATTTCCTGACCCTTGGAAACTATCCATTGTCAAAATGCTACCTAAACCCATAAAGCTGCCAGGACACCCATCCTCTAACCGTCCTATCTCTCTTTTACTCGTTATAGGCAAAATCCTGGAAAAACTTACCTTAAAACGACTCCAAACACATAATCCCAGATCACTAATTTGGATTCTGCACATCCCACTCCACTATTCAGCAATGCCATCGTGTGGTAGATGTAGTCTCCCTGCATTGGAGAGCGGAATGTACTACACAGGAGTCTTTCTCAATGTTAAACAGGCGTTTGATAGAGTCTGGCATCCTGGACTGATGTACAAACTCCATAAATTCCTATCACCTACATACTTCCTCATTACCCCCGTTCCTACATTACTGACAGATACTCCAAAGTAAATCATAACAATGCTTGTTCATCTCTTTTTACTCAGTTTGCCGGTGTTCCTCAAGGTAGTATCCTAGGTCCTATCCTTTACACAGTTTATACAGCTGACATCCCAACCCAATCCAACACCGTCATCACCACCGATGACACGTGTATTCTATCAGTAAATAATGATCCATCTATTGCATCCTAAACTCTTCAATCACACATCACAAGTCTTGAAAAATGGTGTCAAAACTGGAGGATTAAAATAAATTCCAATAGATCCCATCAAATTATCTTTACTCTTCGTCGTAAACATATGACTTCCTGTCCTACAGTATCCTCCAATAATAGTCCATTTATTCCTGTTGAACAAATCCGATACCTAGGACTCCACCTGGACAAACGACTCACTTAGAACCCCCATACCAGTCTGAAACAACTAGAAAATGACCAACGTTTTCGACTTCTGCAGAATTACTAGACAAATGCTCTAAACTTCTAACTATTTACAAAAGACTGATATATATTACTATAATAAGGCCTACTTGGATTTCCGGGATTGAGCGTTGGAGCTCTGCTAAACCATCAAATTCGTCTCGTATCCAATTCCTACAATCCAAAATCCTTCGTAAAATCCTCAATGCTCCCTACTTTGCCACAAATAAAATCATCCATAATGATCTTAATGTAAAATATGTTTCCAATTTAGCTCAATCCAGACACCTATCCTTCCATAATAAACTTCTGAACCACCCGACCCCTCTTGTTTCCAACCTTGATTCCTCTTCTATTCCTGAGAACTCTCTGAGGCGTCTGAAAAGAAGATGGCCTCGGGACCTTTTAATACAGAAATATAATTGTAATGAAGAGAAGAATAGTTCGGGTGCTCAGTCAAAAAAGGAAGGGAAAAAATAAATTATAATATTTATTTTTTACATATGATGAAGGCCTGAACTTCAGGTCGAAACGTCGGCATATGTAAAAAATAAATATTATAATTTATTTTTTTGCCTTCCTTTTTTGACTGAGCACCCCAACTATTCTTCTCTTCATTATCCACGACAGTCAACCAATTACCAATTATAAATATAATTGTAGTGCTACCAATGGGTAGTTTCTCTTCATGTTGTACATGTCATGTTACTTGTTTCACAGTTACTTGTTTATTTTATCATTTAATATAGTTGTAAATTTAAAAAAAAAAAAAAAATTATACAAAATAAATTAGATGAAAATAATGGTACTGCATTTATCTTAATGTGCTATGCACCTTCTGGTGTTATAGATTTAATTAAGAGCACCTACTGGAAGGTTGAGAGAAACAATTATTTTAATAAATTTTGTTATGTTGTATAAGCTCTAGGCTAGTTCATAGCTTAACAGATATTTACTATAGAGAAATTAACATTTCTCATTTACATTTAGAGATATTCTCTTATTTAATCGTAAAATTTAAGATCTTCAAGTATAATAAAAGTACCTTAATTGCACCCGCTATTCGAGACTTGGATTCATCAGTAACAATGTCTTGACCCAAAAGTTCTTCTTCCTCTGCAGGTGCTTCTTCAACCAGATATTCAGTAATACCTTTAAAAACAGCATTTCTCGATTCCAATCCAAAAGTTTCCTATATGTTAAAATGCATTGATAAAGCAAAAGTTATTATTATAACCAGATATTGACAAGAAATATAAAATGAATTAAGTGATGAACATACACTTTGATCAGGATTGCAGAAACCAGCTCTTGAGTCCAATTCCTGTATGATTTTTGCAGCCAATTTTAAGTCTGCCAAGATAACCTATTAAATATGAGGAAATTAAATATAGATATTGTAAAATTAAATGTTTAACCAGAGTTTAATTTAATAATACTAGTAATTTCATATACTTATAAAATAAAACAAATAATAACATTGGTGATGTTTGTTATGAACCAAGTACATAAAAGATTCGTGGACTAGAATATATGCTGATAGATTGGCTACAAATGCAACTACAAACTGTGGAGCCAGTATCCTTTTACAATTTCCTGCGGATGTCCTAAGGGACATCACTTCTTTGAATTATCGGGCTGAGCAAGAAGCCATCTGTGATGCATCAAAACTGATAAGGACCCTAAAGAGACGAGAAAACTCAAAATGCAGTTTTACAATCACTCTGGTCGAAGTCGAGCAAAAGGAAACTTGCCAAGGAACTTGAAGATTTTATGTCCTTTCATAAGAAAGTTGCCCTGCAATGGATCCCTGGAAGTGAAAGGGCAAACCAGCTGGCGAAGGAGACCTGGCAGAGTTTGACTGTAATCTCAGTCTAGATGAGGTAAAAACTCTTAACACAGCCAGCATTAATCAACGTTGGATTAAAAACAACCCACATCACAACCTCAGTGATGTTATCAAAGGACTGAATCGACAAGAGCATGTACTAAATCTTCTGCCTGTGAATGGCCACAACAGGCTCAAAGCTCATCTGTCCAGAAAGTTCAAAATTGGCTCTAGTCCCCTCTGCGAGTGAGTGCGGAGAGGGTGAGCATTCTACAGAGCATATCCTGCAAATGTGCAAGATCTACTCCCAGCAAAGGAGTCTAATCTGGCCCTTCCCAACTGAGATGCAAATAAAGCTCTACGGAAGACTGGAGGACTACCTAATTCTTAGTTTCAATTCCTGACCAGGCCAACCGAGGGAAGAACACAGAAGAAGATAATGATATTTTAAAATTAGGTTAGTAGTTAACTTTATGGGAGTGGGTTAACTCAGTGGTAGGATACTGATCTTCCAATCCTCAAGTACCTGGGTTCGAATCACCGCTCAGGTCAGAAAAATTATTTATTCTTTTTCATCAGCCGAGGAGCGAACTTGGGATCAAGAGACCCTCCTGGGGCACACCCAGCATCTTATAAAGTGGGTACCATTAATTAAATAATTAATTAAGGGGGAAAACCCAGTGGTTGAGTGTGATCTCAGTCAAATCACTTCCTTACGTAACCGTTGATTAAGAAACAATACTTTCCCTAAATAGTACTGAACCCTAAACCCTCCACGGGTTGTAGTGGTAGTTTTTTTTTTTAGTTAGCTTTATAAGCTGAATGTCATTTAAAAGCAAGTAAAAACATGTTTACATTTGTTTTTATTAATATTTATTGAAGTTCCTAGGCTTTAATATTATTTTAAAATGAATAAAATCATGTATATCATAAAACAAGTGCTGTATAAATATGGCAAATGAATTTTTTTTAAAACATATTCAATATTTATCATAACAATAAATATAAGAGTTAATGTAAGTTGGAATAATCTAATACTTTCATTATAAAAATACCTGTTTATGTCCTGACAGTCCACTCACTGATCTTACTCTACGTGATAAATCTCGATTCACTATGGCTCCCATTTCACACTCTTTTACCTAATAATATAATAAAAATGTCATAAATATTATAAGTTAACAAGAAAGCTCTAAATTAACAGACTAATTATTTGAAAAAATTAATTGTGTGTCCTTATCTTATAATGTTAGCTTAATTATATTATAATTTGTTTCTCATTTTTCTTTCTCTTTTCATTTGTTGGGCCTTTTTTTTTAAGTTAATATATTAATAGATTATATGATGGCAAAAGAACTGTAAATAAAGTTAAAGAATGTAAGAGGAATTTGTGAAGAGATAAGATTTTTTTTGATGGAGGGTGTACATATCAGGTAAGAACAATTTTTATTAAAAGAGGAATTAGATACATGTATGCAACCAATCTGATGTAAGTACATTGTCATGCCTAAATTCTTGTTGTTGAGAATATAAAATTTTATAAGTTCAAATGCTGGAAAAGCCTGGATGTGTGCAAAATACCATCCATATAAGTGATTGAGTGAAATTTCTACACATTATGATTTAATAATTCAAACATGTATAATTTGCACACAATGGAATCGTGAATTATTTGGCAACGAATAAAATCCACTAAAAATATATAAATAGAAATTCTAAGTGTAAAATATTTTCCTTGAAAGCATACTGAACAAAATGTAAATACATATAACAAAAATTTAAAACATTCAGAAGAATAGTGACTATATTAAGAATATACTTTAATAAAACGATTAGCGATGACTTACTCTGATGTTATTCAAATTCCAACAGATTTCTTTTATATTTACATCCCGCCTAAATGTAACCCACCCTCTTCTATACCAGTGCTGCTCTGCTTGAGGTTCAGAGAGAGATACTCTGAGAAACCCTGGGTACTTCTTACAAATCTAGAATTTTTAAAAAGTAAATATGATTAATTTAAATCAATCAGTAAATATGTAGTAATTGAAAATTAATGTGTATAAAAAGTACCAACCGATTCAATTTCAGCCTTGGTAACTCTAGGAGAAATAGTACGAAGAAAAATAGAGGAAGTTTTATGTAGTGCTCGTGGTGTTAATGGAACAACTTCATCATGATCCTTCTATCACATAAAACGAGTTAAAAACAAGAAGTGGTTATAAGAGTTTTTTATTTAAAATACAGAGTGAGCAAAAATAAAATAAATTATGAATAATTACGTCAGAATCTTGGTCATCTTTAGGTTTCTTTACTTCTTCTTTTTTCTCTTTTTCAGGTGATGGTTCTGGAAGTGGATCAATACAAAATTATAAATTAAATCATTTTTAAGAGTCATAATAGCAAGAGTGAATTATATAGTACCCTTTTCTTCAGCAGCTTGTGCCTCTTTTTCTGGTGGCGATTCTTTCTCTGCAGGCACATCTTCCTTTTCAATATCACTTTCAGGATCAACTAATACAGGACTTATTGTTATTATACTTTATAATTGTTAGAGAAAATGACAGATATGGTCCTACTTTTATTCTAATTATAAACAGAAATGATAAAATAAATTTAAGACTGGAAGACTGTCCATGCTCTAAGAAGTCATTGTCCAAGGTGTCCAATCGGATTGCGACAATTATCGAGGAATAGTGCTCCTCTCATGTGCTTATAAAGTTCTCTTTAACATCTTATTTGAGAGACTAGTTCCTCATGCCGAGAGGGAGATAGGCAAATATCAGGATTTAGGCGAGGGAGGTTCACATTGGACCAACTGTTCTCTCTGAGGCTGATGCTGGAGAAATGCAAAGAGTATAGATAGAACAGTTACTCATCACCTGTTCATTAATTTTAAGTTACCCATCACCTGTTCATTAATTTTAAAGCCGCCTACGATAGTGTAACTCGGCCTGAGCTCTATCAGGCCCTGTTGGAAATAAATGTCCCAGTTAAACTGATACTTCTCATGAAAATGACAATGTCAGGCTTGTGAAGTGTGCAGTACGAGTGGGAAGTGACTTCTTAGAAGACTTTCATACTAACTGCGGTGTAAGACAGGGATATACTCTAGCCTGTCTTCTTTTCAACTTCGCTGCAGAGAAAGCAGTGCATATGTCTGGAATCTAATTCCATGCAACCCTACTTAACAGTACCGTTTAGCTTCTTGGGTACGCTGACGACTTTGATATTGCCACCAGATCGGAACGTGTATTAAGAGATTCGTTCTTAGCGATAGAAGATGCAGCAAAGAAACTTGGGCAACACATTAATGAAGCTAAGACCAAGTATATGAGAGTCTGAGGAGATGGGCCAGGGACCGGTTCTTTTGTGGCTGGACCATATCATTTCGAAAAGGTAAGCAGCTTTGTCTTCCTCGGGTCTGAGATCAACTCCGAAAATGACATCTCTCAAGAAGTCAACAGGAGGAATGGCGAGACAGTCCTACTTTGGCCTTGTGAAGAATTTTAGAAGCAGGTTCCTCTGTAACAAGACCAAGATCACTCTCTACAAAACCATGGTCTGCCCTGTTTTACTTATGGATCAGAAGCATGGGCTTTTAAGAAGCAAGATGAAAATAGACTTCTGTTGAGGTTATAAACATTGGCAGATAGCAGTCCAATGTGCCCAGGTCACTCACAAGTACCCTTACTATTGTTACAGATGAGGAATGCAAACTAAGACCCTAATAAATTATTTTTTTTACATTGTTAACTTCAAACTGTAAGTAAATTGTACAAAACCATAATCAAACGTTTTTACTCAAGGACATTTTTCAAGGAATTGTTTTCTCAAAAATATTTACAAGGTTAAGATAGGCAGTTATTGTAATTAATTTAAAATCTTATTTTAATTTTTCATCTTTTTTATCTGTTCATTTTCCTGTTATAAATAAAAAAAATAAAAATAGAAAAAAACACTAGCAAGAGACAGAAAATAGGTTTTAGATTATAAATACCAAATTTAACCACACAGCCTTGTTTCTAAAATGTAAGTTAAGAACAAAATATCTGTCGAACCTCGGTAGCATAATAACCATGAGGTTGAGGTTGAGATTAACCATAATTATATAGTTACATTAAAGTTATACAAGAATTTTATTATATCAAAATTAATAGTTTATACATTCATTTTCAAGTTCAGATTTTTTCAAAACTGTTCTGATAGTAGGTTTTTTACTTTCACTTACACATATATGTAATATGTATTACTATGTAATAATAAAATGTAGGGTTACTAATGAATTTAATATATACTGTTATAAATAAAACAACCATATTTTTTCTTTTTAAAGTTTCCAGATAAAATCAAAACCACATTCAAGAATGGTATAATAATTGATTAATTACTTTTGATCAGTTCTACTTGATGATTCTGAAACATTGCTAAAGAAACGAGCATTTAGATAGGGAGGAAATAAACATTGTTTTGATACCTATGTTTTTAATTATATCTTTATTTTATTTAATTTACTGCTAAAAAAATACTAAAATCCTATAAATTTGATGAATATCTCTGAGTATTCATCTCCAGAAAAATGAAATTCTTTGACTTTATCCTATATGTAGAAAACCTGCACATAATTTCCCAGGAGCATGAAATATAGTTTAAAAAACTAATTTTTCATCTAACGGAAATAGATTTTGTCTAAGTAATAGGGCTAACAAGTGCAAGTGATATACTATCAAGTAGAAAGTTGGGAACTTGCACACTTACACACTGAGATCAATGGAATAATTATTTTTTCAATTAAAATAAAACAATTTAATTACCTCCTGGAGGTCTTTCATCTTCAGACAATTCATGAACTTCATTCTTTTCTTCTTCCTCTTTACGATCATCATCTTCATCAATAACAATTTCATCTTTATTTTCTTCATTTTCTTTCTTTTTTACTTCTTCTTCATCCGACTTATTGTTTTCTTTAGGTTTACTATTACAACAGAAAAATCAATAAAAACATTCTCATAAGTAATTATATATTATTATTTTGATAACTCCAAAATTACTCAAAGGCCACTGGGCTAGGGATAAGAAAAAAAAATTGTATATAATTTTAAACAAAGTTTATGTTATTAATTTAAGATTTGCTTCGCAATAATAGATTATTGTGGAATCAACACCCATGGTACAGGGGAGAGGGGAGGGAGAAGAGATATAAAATACTTAGCACAAAATTTTTTACTGATGCTTAAGGATGAAAATGATCAAATAAAACGTCCATCTTTTAAAATAATAAAGCAAGAAGTTGAAAATATTGATCAAAATTATAAATACAAATCAAAGGTATACTTACTCATCACTCTTATCCTTTTCTTTTTGCTCATCCTTCTGTCCTTCTATAACCAACAAAAATCAAGGATTTAAAGTTAGTTAAAAAAACAAACAACTAGGTATGTGCTTCAGACCACACGATATCAGTGAAAACATCAACAAGGCGAGATTAATAATATGAAATATAAAATTATAAATAATAGCTCATTAATAGAAGATAAAATGCTGAACATTTTCCTCGCTTACAGTACACAAATCCGATTTAGTATCTGAAATATTTTAAAACATATGTTCAACTAATCTTATAATTTGGTTTTCAACACGTCGACTTTACCCGAGCGTTAATGCCAAACGAAATCTGACGGATCAATCTAATTCACCCTCCACAAAAAGTGCAAAACTCGCCTAAAGAATTTTTTACTTAAAAATAAAATTAAAAAAACAATACCAAATTTAAAACAATAAACTCCTCCTTCCTTTTCAAACAAATTTCTTACAGTTTAGAATAACTGCATGGTTTAAATTAATGTTTTAAAAACTTAACCATAGAATAATTAATTATAGAATTGTATACCTTGTTGATCAAGAATAGTTAAATCCAGGTCAGTCCCTCCTTCCAGTCGAATCACTACAGAATCTAGAAGTTTGACAACTTCATCTCCTTGCTCTGTATCTACTCTTATATCATCCATGCGCATTGATTCCAGCATTTCAAGAAAAACATCGCACCTTTTCTGGAATACATATTTTAATTATTTTTTTTCCACAAAAATAACAAAGACAAATATTAATATTGTAGCACATCAATGTATGATTAGTGTCAATGTACATGTTTGTTTAATATCTCATGGATGCAAAATAGAAGGGAAACAACTTAATAAAAAGGAGCTTAGATAGTTTTCGAGCCATCATATTTTACTCAAATTTTGTTACTTTGTAGACATTTTTTGTCTTTCTTTCACCAGTTTCGTGGCCAGCTGAGGCAAATAGTCTGTTTGTTCTTCAAAATCAATCTTGGATCGTTTGAAGGTTGGAGACAATTCAATGGATTACGAGATGGCTTTCTTATCCCTGATTGTAACATCCAGGTATGAACTTTACCCACAAGGTTTTCCTATAGATTATCTGAAACTTGAATTTACTTACTATTAATAATTGCAGAGCCAATTATTGGCCTTACAGATCTTGTAAATCTTCAATTGCCTGAACAAGCGTAAATAGATGAAACTAGAGACCCTTTTTTGTCTCGTGTTAAATTTTCAAAATAATAAAATCAATTCTATGTCTCTCACTATTTGGAATTCGGTGGCATTGTAACTTTTTTCAGTCAGGCTCATTTTGCTGTTGCCTAGAGGTTTCGATTGTTTTGAAGGCCATTCAATATTATATTTCCACTTACCGCTCTCTTCTTTGCTTCGTCTAGTTTAATGGTAAGCAGTACCGGCCTCAGGGCAGAACTCGAGCATTTGCCCAGAGGCGCTGAGCTGGAAGTGGGGACATTATAGCAATGTAACAATTAACCGGGATAATAATCCTGCAATTTATCACCCTTAAAACCCTACCCTACCAACAAATTAAAATTTGTATATATCAGTGTTTAAGTAAATAAAAATACCCACAATGAAACATAAATGAATATCTAACCTCCTCACTGACTTTCTTGTGGGACTTAATTATTTATTATAATTTAACAAATAATTAAAATAGGGTTGCAGAAGAAAATGGTTAATGATAGATTAGACAAGTAGGGAAACATATGGTAATTAGTTGGTTTAAATCATACATTGTACAGTCTATGAGTTTTACTTTCAGTTCCCTCTGTATGATGTCCCTACCTGCTAAATATTTTAACTGTAGTATTATTTTATTAATCGGGCGCTGATGACCTAAAATATCAAGCGTTGAAAAGATCTCTTTTTTTTTTTTCTTTTTTTTTATGGATGGGCATATGATCAGGGAAAATTGTGTGATGTGCACCCGCATCAGATTTTTTCATTTTCTTGTAAGGAAATAAGTAAATGTAATATAAATGAATTAATATTCCTGCATTATTCTAGCTGCCAATTATTATGGTTATCATTGCTCAAAAATGTTTATTCGAGGAAAAACTAATTAATTAAAAGTCTGAATGATTTTTAGTATTCAATTAAAGAGAGCAGGTACTGTTTGTCCAATTAAGGCCAAAAAATGTCTTTTAATGGACAATGAAGGAATGAAAAGTTCCAAGAGGGGCGCTTATGACTATAGAAGCCTTCTGCTGCGGAAACGTGTACGTGCCGAATGAACACTAATGTCCCTCACGGTCCCTTCAAATGCATGAACCAACTCAAACAGCAAACATATATTTTTCTATAGAAAAAGACTGAAAGAATATCTCATTATTTCCTAATTCATGAGTATGGATTTTGAAATGGGTGATTGATAATTTTAATTATCCAATCTATATTTTAGCCTCCCATGTGATTTAATAAAAAATTGTTTTAAAATATTTTTTCTTCTTCTAAATTTACAAGTATCTTTTTTTTAATGTCTCACTGCATTAGAATAATTAAAACAATTTTAAGAAGAAACTAAATAAATGATAATCATTGTTTTTTTAATTATACTACGTCTCATTTTTTTTTTTTTGTAACTACTAAACCAGAAAATCTTAAAACAAAAGGTTTGTAGGCATATAATATTTCTTAAAAAAATAAATTAAAATACTATTTGAATGTTTTGAAATGAAATATTTCATAATGGAATTGCCATTGCTTACCTTTAAGGCACCATTAAGTTCTTCTTTTCTTTTAAGAGATTCTTCAGGGTGATATTTTAGTTTAAACCTACAAATAAAGAAAAATCTATATTACATTTAGTTTAACTAATGGATCTTCAATCTGTACTCAATAAATCAATCAAACAATAATGATATTTCAGAACCAATTAGCAAAATTGAAAATCTGCATTAGATGCATATATGAGTACAAACATGAAGAATCCATTTCAATTTTTAAAAAGGCATTATCTTTACTGTTAATTTTTTCTGGAGTTTTATAAGTTTAGTTCATTAGTTAGGCTGGGGTAAAATGCTTTATTTAAGTTTTTAAGTTAAATTAACCTCAACTTTAGGATTAAATCTAATTCCTTATTTGTTTTAATTTTTTTATCGAATATAGCCTTTTTTTTTGTAGTGTAAAATTCTATTCCAAAACAAGTGTGAAAATATAGACATATTGAAATATTATATATAAATTTACTAAGATAAAATCATTATGAAAGGAATTTTTTTAAAAATAAATTTAAAAATGCAGAGTTAAAATTTCAATTAAAAAAAAATTGTAAAAATCATCAAAACAATATGATTTCTGTCTTAAAAGTTGCATGATTCATGGAGAAATGTATGAGTATATATAAGGTAGATTTCAAGATCATGTTTGAAAATATAGGATACAAATTTAAAATAAAACAATTTAAAACATAAGATAGGGATGGGCGATAGTCGATATATTGATAGTCCTATTGACAATCGATAGTTCATATTCTCCCCTTAGACACAAATTATATTAAAATTTTATATACTTGAAGAAATAATTTTAATAACACGCCTTCATTCTTCTACCTATTTATTTACCCATGAGACATAGCGATAATATAACTATGTAAAAGTAAAATGTTTGATAATGGATAACGGTTATTATATACCTAGGTACTGAATGGAAATGCTACATTAAGAAAATAAATGGATAGAAGTGTGAAGGTATGTTTAAAACTATTCTTATCAGTATATAAAACCTGAAACTAAATTGAACATAAAGAAGTCTTCAAGGTAAAAAATAATAATTCAATCTCAAATTACTTTCTTGTAAATATTTTTACAACTCCATTTCTGCCGATGGAAAAAATGTTACATTTACCTCAACATTTAAAATTTTTTTTTCATAAAAAGAAATACAATTATAAAATCTACAAGGATGCCATTACAGTTTTATTATATTTTAAACTAGGTGTTATTATCAAATTAAATTTAGAACCTTGGAAATTAAAAGACAAACACATTTCTCATCTCTATTTTTTACCAAATAGTTAAAACAATACCACGAATTCTACCTATATGTCGTCGATGTTTCTTGTTCGAGTTCAACGATCAGTGAAATAAGTTGCAATCTAATAAATGCAATCTGTTTTTCTAAATAAATGAATTTTCCCTTTAATATTTTTTTTAATTATTTATTTTATAATTTTTATTAGTGCCTTAACATTAATCTTTAAGGATGTATCAAATATAATGTTAATAATTATAAAGCTTATGCAGTATTTTAAAATAAATAACTAAAGAATATAGTGAAAATAAATCCTCTTTAAATCTGTGTCGGAAAGGCACTAAATTATCAATAGTTTTTATCGATAATATCGAACTATCGACTATAGCCCATCCCTAACATAAGACATAATTTTCATATTGAGAAATGGTTAGCTTATGAAATACTATGTTATGGAATTTACTTTCAAAAATAAGTTGCTAGGGTTTATTTATAGTTTCAAGACAGAAAAAAGATGCAATTCTTAGCATATCATTTGACAGCAGAATTTCTAGGCTCAAACACAAGTACTATTCTACCAGTGTTACGTTTCTCAAAAGGCATAATATATAATGATACTTTCAATCATCTTAGTATGAAAAAGCAACTTCAGATTTTACCTAACAGTCTCTTTCAGTAATGGGGCGTGGTAGTATTATTGTAAATCACTTTCAAGATATAGGAAGTAATTTCTACTTATTTGCTTTTAAAACAAAGAACAACTATTGACAATATTTGCTCCAAATATTGGATATAGCATTAATTCATCTCAAGTAATAGTATTTCCGATGTTTTGTACCTCTATTTTAAAAGAGCAACAGCTCAGGCATTTTTTTTAAAATAACCTGTGCTCAACCATGAAAAAGGTGGCAACACATATTTAAAAAAATTAAATTGCATTGAAGAACAAAAAACTAAACCAAAATAATAGTAACAATTATTGAAATAACTATGCATGTTTGTGTTTTTTATTTTTTCATTTATGAACATCGATTATTCCAAACAGGAATGTTTTCATGAAAAACTAACTATGCATGATTCAGAAACAATAACTAAATAAGAATCATTTATAATTGTGGGTAAATGGTTGACTGTGAACAATGAAGAGAAGAATAGTTGGGGTGATCAGTCAAATAAGAAGGCAAAAATAAATGATAATATTTATTTTGACATTTGCCTACGTTTCGACCTGAAGTTCAGGCCTTCATCAGGGCTTCCAAAAAGGTTTTTGGAGAAGTGATTCTGTTGCTCATAAATATGACAATTTTTCTCAAAACCTTTCGCATTCTTCATGATTATAAACTAACTGCTACAAAGCTCCTAAGTTTAATTAAATACATAGTGGTGGTTTAAAACAGGGGTCTCTAAACTACTTTTTTGGTAGCGAAAGATTTCTTTGAAAATATTATAAATTTCATGTCTATATTGAGTTTTATTTCATCCTGAAAAACTGAATGGACTCAATTGTCAACCCAATATATTTTACAGTACTAAGTATATAACCATCCATGGAAACTGAGATATTCAGAGGTAGATGAATCATACTAATTTTAATAATGTTTTTTGAACAATAATTGAGCAACTAATATGATTTGTAATGATGGCTACTTCATTCAATTAAAAAATGGTTTGATTACTTTGATATAAGGGACCACTTTCATTAGAAAAAAAATCTTTTAAGTGTTGCTCATGAATTAGAGAGATTTGTGCATCAAGAATCATTTAGAGGCAGGCCAACGGCTGGTGAGGAGGAAGGGTAAAAAAAAAAAAAATAAAAAAAATAAAATAAAAAAAAATAAAATAAAAATAAAATAAACACAATAACCCACTTACATAATGAAAGTGAACATTTTAACTTGAACAGGCTATCAATCTATTCTAGCCAGAGTGAGAAAACCAAAATTTATTCTAACAGGCTATCAATCTATTCTAGCCAGAGTGAGAAAACCTAAATTTATTCTGTGAACCTCCAAAGAAGTCAGCACAATCAGGTTGGAATCGAACTGACACCGCTCATACTTGGAAGAAATTATTATTTAATTTATCTAGTCATTGCCATGGTACCGCAAAGTAGCATGTGCTTCACAAACCAATTGCAGTATATTTAGTTTGAGAGCACGTGCAAAAAAAAATGTTTAAATTATATAGTGTGAAATTGTCAGAGGAGATTATGAGAAAATTACTATAAAACGGTCATTGGAACTAAGCCGAGAGTCCCAGAAGTTGAACAATATAATTCTAGAGCTACTACAAAAAATTGACATAATCCGATGAAAATTTTATTAAATATTTAATCATTTATATTTAAAAAATGAGAGTCGGCCAGTTGAATATTGTTACCTGTAAAAATGGTGGCTGATTTGAAGAATATTAGGCTAGAAACTTGAGAATTGAAACGGGAAATTTATCGCAAAAAATGTAGGAAAAGTTTTTACTTTCTTAACTTGTATATACTGGTTTAAACATGTAAAAAATAAAACTCCTAACACGGGTAACTAAGATAAAACTTTTTACAGCCAAAAAAAACAAGATGCTTTCAAAATTTTCATCAGACAATGTCAATTTTTTTTGCACGGGCTCCCGGTGTTGAGGACGTTCTATATGGTTTGTCAAAATGACAATTTTCTTAACTATTTTTTTTTGCCTTCTTTTTTGACTGACCACCCCAACTATTCTTCTCTTCATTATCCACGACAGTCAACCATTTACTAATTATTATGTCTTAACTATACGCCATTTTTTAATAACTCAACCAGAGGACGATTCCTTTTGTTTAAGAACCGTTCCTTTTATCTATTTCATTACTAAAACATGTTTCAGAATTTGACTTTTAACTCCTCAACAAGAGAGGAGTGGTAAATCTATCAAGAATTCTCAAAATTAATCAATGAAAAAACATATATTAAGTAACAGAAAACACCACCTTATTTCATTGGGAAATCATTTCCAATTTTGGTTTGTTTTCATAAGAAATTGATAATAATTTAGCATTAATAATCTAAAAAAAATATATCTGTTTTCACAGAATTTCAAATGAAAAATCAATATGATGTCTAAATTATTTGAACTAGAAATATCGATGTTTCTATGTGGATGTATACAGTAACATCGATCTTAGACTTTAAATGTTATTAAATATCAATATTTTTGTTATGACTTACTAAAAATGTCAGTGTGACTCGCAGGCCTAGAAGAATCACAATTAATTTTTTTATTAATTCTCATTTATTTTTGGTCACAGAAGTCCTAAAATTAACGATAGTTTAAATAATAGTTTTCATATTTGTTGAACTTGCCATTTAAGATAATCTCAATACATTTGGTTGATCATTATTTGTTTTTATATAAATTAATAAAATTAATTTTGTTTTCTTTAAAATTCAGCCACTTTTTCCACCAAACTACGGGAGAAATATAAGGTTATTATCTCACTCTATGACCAAAACTTATTGAAAAATATGGCTCTCAAAAGGTTTGAGTTTGTGAGATGGAGATTTGAAGGAACTTAATATGTTATGAAAGTTATAGTCACGATTATTATTTAAACCAGACAGTATATGAATATTTTTATGAAAATTATCTTTAATAATACATACAAAGAATGATTTTTTTCAAATATATTATTTTATTTATCGAAATCATGATTATTGATTTTATTAATAATCCCAACTTCTTTTTTGAAGTATATTGTAATGGCCATTAAATTAAACCCTGCCTACAGTAACAAACATATTTGTCAATAGTGATAGTATTAGTAATAAAGC